CATTCAAATCGTTCATACCGCACATTTTCTTGCGTTTCATATAGTAACTGTTGAATCAAAATATTGTATTATTACTGTGAAACTCAGAAAACCGTGAATATATACCAGAAATATTTAAGGATTATTATTGTGTAGCAAGGAAAAAGCCAATTAAGCGTGAGAAAACTAAACCGCAAACACCGGCGATAATAGGCCACGTTCGATATATAAATATTCTAATATGGCTCCGAGGCTTTCAGGACAAACTTCTATGTTTGGTGGTGTTTTCTTTGTATCCAAGTCTCTTGGGAATTGAAAGACAAAGGAAACTTAAAAAATTTGAAATTTTGACCCGAAAGCCTCGAATCGATGTTAGAATAGTGACATATCGAACGTGACCTATTGGTTGTGGTTTTGAGGTTTTCTCGCGTGTCCTGAACTTTATTGTGATTGGTTCAGTACCAAATTAACCTTTTGTAATCAAATTTAAATGTTCACGGTTTTCGGAGTTTCACAGTACATGTAATAAAACAAAAAAAGCGATTGCATAAATTTTAAATCCACTGTCCAAATTCCTGAGTCCTCACATTTTCAAATTTTATGGCGAGTCGACCATTTTCGGTCCGGGATCATTTACGGTACAATCTGGGGATCATTTGGGGTCCTGGGGGGTCATTTGCGGGCCTGTACAACGTTTCTTGACTCTCCGCTGTGCAAAGTAACCCCAATATCGTTTCCTCGTTTCTGGAGCTTATTGTTAAAAATGTATTTTTTTTCTTTTGTTGAGGCAATATTTGTCTGAAAGTGTAGAGTAAGCATTTTCGGCCAAAGAGGTGAAAGCTCTCTCTTATCGGAAATTGTGATATTTTAGTGAAGTATTTTACGAGTCCCTTTGGTAATTTTAAGTAACACGCATCAGTTGCACCAAGCACACTTAATGTTATTAGCCTGCGATTAGGCCTACTCGCAGGCAAACTTAATGTGCAAACACTTCAGTAAGCTTCTAGCCTACAGAACAGGCGGATTAGCGGGCAGTGTGCGAAACGCAATACACGAGCGCGGAGCGCGACCACGAGCTCCGCGCTCGTGTATCGCGCTTGACGATCTGCTCCGCTAATCTGCCTGTTCTGCAGGCTAGTAAGCTTCAATTGACCAGGCCAGGCCACTCAGAGCAAAACACGTTATTGATTGGTCCACTTGGACTCACACTCCTTACCTCAGCACTATAATGTGAGAACTCTGTACATGGAATGAAAGCCCAGCAAGCCAAATCTCTATGAGGGACTAATGATATGATCAGAAACTAGTCCTGGCTTTGCCCAGCTAGCGAGAGCAAACGGAAACCATTAATTACAAGATAAGCTGAAGGCAAAGCGCTCTTGGGCGGACCAACAACACGAAAAGTCGACCTGCTGTCATTGAATGAGCAGTAATTCTCAAAGTTTTCATTTTCACCCCGGCACGAATTGTACAGAATTGTAATGTCTTAGTAGTTTTATCAAAGCTGCCCTATCATTGGATGATTCCTACAAACGTGATTGGTAGAAAATCCGCTTACTGAGGGAGGATGTGAAAGTCACGCCCGGACCTGTCGTGAAAGGCTACACACTGAAAAGAATGAACCAAGCGTAGGGAATCTTAACTCGATGCTCTTGATCTCAAGCTAAGAGCTTCCGAATATACTTTTTATTGCAACCGTACAGGAAAAAATGCTCAAAAATAGGCGTTATTTATCTCAACATTTCAAAACTGATATAAACTATTAATACAAAATTGTGTAGACATGCATGGTAAGTATTTTACCTCCAATGCACGAAAGATTATCTAGAAAAGAGTAAGCAAACTGCGCCACGCTCTTTTATTACAGCTCAATATTTCAAAGGAAAATATTAACCCGATATCTCGAGTATTGTGATTTGGTAGCGTCTTACAGTTTGCCTTTACTTTCAGCATTAACAAAGATTGCAAGCTAATTACGACATCTTCCGCTCAACCTTTTCATTCTCTTGCGGTGCTAATTAAGATTAACAGCAACATTATTTCAACGCGACAACTTAATTATTTTGAAATTGTGCGAGTGATTGGTAGCCAACATTAAGCTTGACATTTTTGTTCTGACGCAGTGATCTCAGGTAGTTAAAAGCCGCCTTCTCCTCGTCGCTGGTTATTCCAAGCACTGAGTACATGTTCTTCAAGCCCTCAGATCTCGCTTGCTCAACCACTTTAAGCGCTTCTGCCTTGGCCCCGGCGTCAAGTACGGTTGCTGTGGCGCTCGCATTCTGGGCTATTTCTCTGGCCTCATTGTAGATTTCATTTCTGAGCCTCTCAGTTTCCTTGCGAACAACCTATGATGTATAAAAATTGAGAGGATTAGCTACCATAATTTATTTTCGCTCGATTTTTGCTCTAAAATAACTCGTATTTCCATAGCGGAAACGACAAATCTTCGAAACTGTTTACCTTCTCTTGCAACTCAAACTCGGCCCGTTCCTCCTCGGCCGCCTCCGTGACTTGACGGAGATACCTACTCTTGACGTCATCGTGGATGTCAACAGCGAGCAGCTGGAAATATCTGACCTCCACAAACATTCCTTTCTCATCGTTCTTACACCTGGCGTTAGGAATGCAGTAACCACATGCAGGCATATCTTTTTCTTTAGTAGGACATGTCTCCCTACAGCAGCCATCCACTCGCTTGGCCAGAGCTTTGAACAGCTCCTTTTCTATGTTTTCTCGTTTCCTGATACAGAAAAAAGCAAAACAAAAAAAAACAACAACAATGGTTAGAAAGCACGTATGTTCTCAGGTAGTGCTGAAAATAGACGAAACATCCCATTATTCGTGTCTGTGTCTTGAGAAAAGAATGAAAGCATGAGAGCCAACTCCAGGTTCTCTTGGGTAAAGGGAGAGAGAGAAGAGAAAGAAAATATTATGGGATTTTAGTTCTTCCCAGCCCCCCCCCCCCTTATTTCCTTCCTAGTGATTGCTTCTTGTTCGAGTTCTAGAGGGAACTACCATGTGGAAATGGCTGTGATATATTTTAATCACTGAATTGCTCTGTATTCACAGAGTTGTTTTTTATTCGTGCATAGTTTGGTCTGTTAATACTTGCTCAGGACTTGGGTTGAAAACCTGTCATTATATGCTCAAGAAGGGCATGTAACAAATAGACCGCCGTTATCTAGCTTATTACAGTAGTCCCAAAAAACAGATCATTCCAACCTTCAACCAGGAGGAGGGAGGAACAAGGGGGCTAATCCCCCTTCTCCCTACTTTTTTAGCCAATTTTCCCTCCTCTCTACTCTAAATATTCTATAACATTTTATCCCCATCCAGGTCCATCCCGTTTTCCCTACTCCCACCATTTCCTTTTGTCCCTCCCCCCTACTTTTTCCCCCTATTTCTCCATGTTCCCAACTTTTTTGGGGTCATTTCTCCCGCCTCCCTATTTTGTCCCCACCCCCCCCCCCTCCTTAGACAGAGTTTAGATAGAAAAAGCTACTTTTCTAATCACTAAAATTTAAAAGGAAAACAAACCTGATGTAATCATCAATGGGTAAATCCGCAGCCCGCCCTTTAATGGCGTCAATAGCTGTTCCCCTGACAACCGGTTCGTAGTCGACATTGTAAGCTTCGTGTAAGTCTGGCAGAAAGTCCTTTCTCAGGAAATACTGAAAGGAGCAGCTGATTTCGATTTCGACTTTATCATCCGTCCACACAGAGATCTCATCAAGTTTGACAAAATGAGCATTGGCTTGAAACACCTTGAAGGTGTAATCTGGACCTACAAAGTATCGACCAGAAGTGAACACTTCACTGACGTCCACAAAACCTGTTGACTTACGTCTCTTGAAGCCAAGCTGTGTGGAAATACACAGAGAAAGAGGTGATCATGAATCAGTTTAATCAAATAAGTTTGCCGCAGAACGACTAAGAGGATTATGCAAAGTACACCCACCGTGCTCGTTTCAGTGCAAGTCAGAGTAATGATTATTTTTTTTCCCTTACGTTAAAACAGAAATCTTAAAAAGATTAATTACCATTGGTTAAAAAGTTAAAAATTAATTTCAATTGTTTAAAAAAGTGAAAAATATATATATTTTAATTACTGTAAAACATATTTAAGGTCTTAGGACTATTTCGGAACGGGAACAGTGAATTTTGTTTCCCGAGAATCTTAATGTTTCCCGAGACGAAGTCTCGTAAAACATTGTTTGACCCATTTGTTTTGCTATATATCAAAACAAATGGGTCAAACCGTGGAAAACCAATAATTACTTTATTGCCAAATGACGTGCAACAGCGGTCAACATTTCGCGGGTAACAGTGGCGGAACTGTTTCTCGTTTGACGTCATAGTTTTCGCACTACTGTTGCCCGCTCATGGCATTTGGCGGGAAACAGTTTGATTGTTAGATGTCATGTGACCACGACCTTGCTAATGAATAGGCGCGCTGCAGCGAGAAAAACGCCAGCTACATAACAATAAGAATTATAGACTAATATAGCTTACTACTATAGTAATACAAGACACAGAGTATTGACAAGAGATCTCGATACTTTCACTTTCGAGGTTAAACTGCTTTATGATGAAAATTATTTATTGTTAACGGATAAAATGTTCAATTTGTACGACTAACCCCTACATTTTTGGCCCGTTTTATAGCTAACAGTAAGCCCCAATGAGACCCTCATAATTTAGTGGAATTGTTTCGTCATTCAGTGACTAGAAAGTGATATTACTTTGGAGAAGCTAAATTTGTACATTACTTAACCATTACTTATAGTTCAGATAGTTCCGCCGGCAGTACTCCAAAACATGTCAAAAATGTTTCGTGTATAGTTGATGAAACCTTCTAGTTTGTGCAATAACAGTCAAAACAGATGCAATAGTAGTAGCAGTTCAAGATGGAGATGAAGAAGAGTTTTCAAGAATTTGAACCGTTCAAGGTCCTGCAAAAGACTGCTTGGTGCCGCTATATTTCATATGAGCGGGGTTATTGATGTGTTTAACAATCAAATATTTATAACTACTTAATAACCGAGAGTGAGGTCGTTACGGGAAAATCTCAAACTGAGGTCAATACGGTAGGCCGAGGTTTGAGATTT